CAATGCCCTTGGAATTGTAAAAGCAAATCAACATCGTCTTTACTTTTAACTTCTCCAAATGAGATTGTTGGGACATGGCTCTTCTGGCGCCTTTCACTCGGCACTTTGCCGCTTGGTTTCTGGATCTTATTGAAGACACCACATTTCATCACCAGTCACAATGTTGTAAATTAAGTCTTTGTAGTTTTTGCCACTTTAATGATGACCTTTGAATGGCGAATTCTGAGCAATGTTTGTTCATCAGTCAACTTGTACGGAACTTGATGTTTTTGATATAATCAGTTCCAATTCCATGAATTTCAATGAAGATTTTGGCTGATTTTTTATGAATTCACGCATAGTTTAGATGGAATATGCGGCGATCACATGCTGCTCATCATTTATGTCCTCACGACAGTTTTTTCACCATGTATACCATTGATCAACTCTGCCACGAGATAAACAATAATTACCATAAAGATTCATCAGTTGAAAGGTTTCGATATAAAAGTTTCACCAAGTTTAAAATAAAACTAAATTCTTTGTTCGATGCTCATTTCTGTACGGATGACACAAACAAACTGTCACTTCAGATGCAATAACTCCGCTTCTATTTATCCAAATGTTATCAAATTGTGATAGTACATCTACCTTTCCAACGCATGTAATTGCCAATAATTGATGACCTCGATAGAAATACCAATTTGAAAAGTTCTGTTTACTTTAGAACGCACCTTATATTTTAGCCCTTTGTAGAACTTTTTTAATGTTTTCATAGATGTAGCTTGTTATCAGTAATACATTTATCAAATTTGAAAAATATTGCTTCTGTGGATAGTTATGGCAAATAATAATTAATAAAAAATAATTTTGAGGTTTTGTAACTCTGTTAATATTAGCTTAGTTCCTAGTGCAATGAACACAGTTTCCAAGAGTTGAAACTACAACGATTTTACAAAAAAAAATGTTTACGATATTGACTCCATTTCTCATGCCGCATCTATTCCCAAATTTTTTTGGACAAGTTGTGAATCACCCTGTATATTTTAAATAACAGTTTACTGTGGAGAACATATAATTAATGCTTTTTTGGGGTGCGGGGAGAAATAATTAGGAATAAAAAATACAATCGGTTAAAACATTTAAACTCTATTTTTTTATGAAGTAGGAAGAAAAAGTACATACAAGCAATTTTTTAACGATATGTCAAGGAAATTTTGAAATATCTTTATAGAAATACCCACTTACCGTTTCTGTCCGGCAGTGGTGACAATATGTCCATGTTGATTTTATAGACGAGTATTTTGTTTCATTTAAAGCTTATTAATACAAAATCAATTAATAACAAAATTAATTACAATATAAATATTTGTATTGTACCTAATTAATTTACATTAATGTTTTAAATTAAAATCCGTTTCAATGAATTAGAGTTAGATTTATCTTGGAGTATGAAACTTAAAAAATTAAGGTTTCATTCAAATGATAAATCCTGGCCGAATACGGCGAATACGATTTCACCAAATGCTTCAAAACGCCAAGCCAGAATTGTGCATAAATGGTTTGGCCCGGTGGAATGAACTAATTGTGGACAATGCCTTTGGAATCGTAAAAGCAAATCAACTTAAAAGTGGAATTAAGAACTATCGTAGGTAAATAAAGGTTATTCGAAAAGTGAATTAACACTTGTTTCGAGCACATAAATTACATTTAACACAATAAAATATAACAAAGTATAACACAAAAAATCCTAAACTACACATACATCAACATTTTGATAATTTCAAAAAAATATTGAAGTTAAAAATGTACATATATCCATATGAACAATGAACAATTATAATTCAATGATAAATCCAATTACACAAACAAACGACACCTTAATTTAATTATTGCGCACAATTTTATTTATTTTTTATTTTATTTATTTATTTTTATTTTTTTTTTGGATTTATTTTTTTCAAAAATGGTCTTCAGACCTAGAGTGGACCTGGAGCGGACCTAGTATGGGCCTGGAGGACCTGTAGCAGACCTGGTGCGGACCTGGTGGACCTGGAGTACGCCTGGTGGAGGCTTGGTGGACCCTTGTGGACCTAGGGTGGACGTAGTAGACCTGGAGTAGGCCTAGCGTGGACGTAGTGGACCTGGTGGACCTGGATTGGACCTGGTGGAGACCTAGTGGACCTGGACTAGGCCTGGTAGTCGTCGAAGATGCTTCGCTGGGATCGCACAGGCTCCCTTGCCTGTGTAGGTAACCTGGATATCGGTTACTCAAGCCTCACGTGCTGGGCGCCATGTCCACGAACGCGGTGGTTT